ACGCGTTAATATATAACGTATACAAGTACGAACGAAGTATAAAATATAAATAAAAAAATTGGTTTTATTCCATTTGATAATTCAAAGTTAGATTACCATTAAAATCTTATATATTATATATATATATATATAATATATTAAATGTCATATTGCAACTTAGCATTTTCACAAGCTGGGAATTGGTATCATTCAGGATTATCAACTATTATCGTATCGTAATACTCTACTCGTCTACTGTACAACATTTTACACTCATCGTTACTTTTCCGTAAAATTCCTTAGGTATGTGTCGATTATCAATTACAACTACGAGATTACTGAAGAGTCATGAGATTGCACACCTTTCCGTATAGAGAACGATCGTTGCGTTCGAGAGACCAGTTTCACTTTCTCGCATTTTACTTCATTATCTTATACCTATAAACGCTATACGAAAGTGAACTATCAAAACGTCACTACGATCGCCGTTAATTTTCTCTCACCGTTTATTTAATGTACCGCTTCTTAACGCTTAAACGCAGCCTCTCCTCTTCGCGCACCGCGTATGTACACGTCGGAAAAACTCAACTTATAAGTACAAACAATTCCCTGGATCAACAGAAATCACACAACGGTAGTCAACTAAATCGGATAGTCGGCAATTATATATGTATAAACTGGCAACAATTAACAGTCCCATTCGAGAGAGTCTTTGCTTCGTTTTTCTTTAAAGCACCGAAGCTTCGGTCCTGCCGCTCGGCGGCGTCGTCGCGTGACTGCTCGAGTTGTTGTTATTATTGTTGTTGTTATTGTTGCTCGCTTCGCCAGCGTGACTCGAGCAGTAGAACTTCTTGTGAGCAATGAACGTGCTCAGGTAATTGAAACTTATATCGCACGACCTGCAATAACGCGGGCCGCTTTTGTTTGGGTCGAGACTTTCCTCAGGAGGCGGCGTGTCCTCGCGTTCTTGCTTCACCTTGTTCGTCACCGCCGGAAGCGGCGGCGGCGGTGGTGGTGGTGGTTGAGGACTCTTCCGTACTTCGGTTTTCCCATTTACTTGCACTTCCGCGGGGATTTCCTCTGGAGTAGTGGCTGGAGCGGGTTCTGAAGTCGGCAGAATCGTATCTTCGTCTATTACGCACGATATATAATTTTCTTCCTGAAATGATTGGATACGAACATGATTCCGTTCACAAATTTATAATTGATACACTTGGAAGAAATAAAATTAAATACTGATTAATTAAAGTATACCTGTAGATCGGCACCACGTTTCTCAAAGTGCATCTTGATATGCGTCCTCATACCGCGCAACGTATTTCCTTTGTAACGACAGATCGTACATCTGAAAGCCTTGACGCCTTGATGCGCGTCTATATGACGCTGAGCTGCTCCTGCTGTAGGACTGACCGTGCCGCAAACGGGACATCTCCAACCTCCCGTAGACCCGCTGGTACACGTATGGGTGCTCCCAGGTTCGACTACGGCCTGAACAAAAATAATACGAAATCAAATTATGCAAGATCTCAACGCGATGGAAACAAATCTATAGAAATCTATACTGACTTTGCATTTAGAGCACCTCGAATGATGTTCCTGAGGTTCCGGCCTCTTGGGACAGTAGAATGCCTGATGAGCAACTAGATTGTCCATGGAGGCGAATTTAATGCCGCATGCGGCGCAGATCAACTGGACCAGAGGAGGTGAAGGTGTACCAGGGGGTGGAGGACTATTGCTGACAGTCGTCTCCCTCGCTTGACAGTAATGTTTCTTGTGCGCAACGAAGTTTTCATGACGACAGAAGACGATATTACACTCCTTGCATCTGAAGATCCAACAATATTCATCCCTATAATCTACTAGTTATCTTAAAAAATGTATTCCTATTTTTATGATATATTTCTATTAGCAACTATTTTTTCGTTCATCATTTTTTGTTCGATAATTTTACATACATAGCATAAATGAAAATACATGTTGTAAAAGCGTCAGATTGTCTTACCTCGACACACCTTGCTTCACGAGCACCCCGGGAACAGGTGGAGGCGGAAGTTCAGCCAGTCTCAGTGCGAGTTCCGTCTGCGGCGGAGGTATAACGGTTCCAACCACCGGTGCAGAACCGATCGACCTCGCCCTAGGACTTCCGCTTCCTCTGGACCTGGGACTACCAGGCGGTGGAGGCAGAGAGGAAGGTGCTGGTGACACCCTGTTCTCCTTTTCGTCCTGATGGGCGGGTGACTTTCTGACGCTTAAATCTAGCGGTGCCGAGCCAGGTGGCGATGTGGACGACGCCACGACGGATGCCGGGGTCGTTGGCTTGTTCGCTGCCCGGAGAACCGGCGGCGGTTCGACCACTGCATTCTGCGGCGCTGTGGCGAGACCTCTGGTCATCGGTTGAAGATGACCTGCACCAATCACGAGGATCATTAAATACAATGTGTCGTGGATCAAAAGTGTGTAAAGACGAAACACGAACCATTCGGAAGAAGGAAGCAGGCGGTGTCAGGCGCGGGCAGAGTCGGTGCCGCCAGGACACTGGCTCCGCGAAACAGAGAGTACGGCACGATGAGGATGGGATTTGTAGGCAGTGCCAGACAAGGTTGCGGAGGTGGTGATCCCTCTCCGGGACTCGCGCTCGTCGGTGGTGAGGCTTTCACCGACGAGGAGGCCACCGTGGCCGGCGGCGGTGTATCCTTGACCACGTGCCTGGTACTGCAGTAGTGCGTTTTGTGCGCCCGGTAAGTCTTCAGCGAGCTGAATCGGATGTCACAGTTCCTACAATATCTCTCCGCTTCCTCGTTTAAAGAGCCGTTCGAGGCAGCCGGTGTACCGCTTCCCGGAGTCGTGGCCGCGGTCGGAGCGGGCGGTATCGTGGGTGGTGCCGGCGAGGCGGCGTGCATCCTCATGTGTCTGTTCAACGAGACCTTCTTGTCCGCGCTGTACGAGCAGTGGGGACAGGCGTACGCCTTCCTCACCTCGAACTTGTTCGATTTCTCCTCGTCTTCCTCGTTCGCAGCATCCTCTTCGAGCCGGGGACGATGGGCGCAATAAAAAGTACGGTGCGCCTCTAGAGTGCTTGCCGAGCTGAACCGGATGCCGCAGGGAGGACAGATCAGAGCCGCCGGCCTGGCAGGCTCCACCGTGATCGTTTCCTTTCCGTCGGTCGGCAGCACGAACAGCCGACCTGACGCGATTGCTGCAACGTTCGTTTCTTTGATTGATATATTCGGTTTTGTCCGTAATCCTACACGGAAAAAATCTTGCTCTTTGAAATTGAATATGGAATAGAAGTTTCTATAACCGACTTCAAGAAAGGCAGACAGTCAGTGCTATACGTGATTCGTTCCACGCCAAATCGATCACTTTTTGATTTGTTCAAAATGATATATAATGTAGTTCACTCGAAATTACTGACTGATGTATCGAAACAATTTTTCATATAATAGAAATAACATTGTTTTTGAAGTCGGTTTTATTTGTGGAAATAAAAATAAACTTGTTTAAATTTTCTTACCATTTTGAAGACCAGCCGGTAGCGGTGGCACAGGATTTGGCGGCGAGGTATTCTCCGGCTTGACAGTGAGCGCGGCTACAGCGGCGGGTCGGAGTGCTGGATCCGTCGCCAGACTAGCATTAAGTCTCAGTCTTGGTGCTGCTTCGTCGTCGAGTTTCAGTTTCTTCTCGGACGGTGGATCGTCTGTGTTCGATCGTCTCGAGGAATCTTCGGAGTCCCTTCTGCTCACGGATTCCCGTCTTCTGGTCGATGACGACGAGGAGAACGACGATCTCGGCTGACAGTCCTCCTCTTTGACCAGGACCGTATTAGATTCATCTTCCGTCTCCTTCGGGCTTGATTCTCGTGTTTGATTGATCCTAGGAATCGCATTTCGGTCTCTCAAGGTTCTTGCAATCTGTAGAACAGATAAACGAACATTTTATTAATTTTTTATGAAGAGAATGTCTCATAACAATAAATATATCTCCATTATATTTATTGAAGATTATAATGAAGTATTCTATGATCTGTGACATATCTGATGTATCAGTTTCTATCAGGAAACGTCAAATTTATAATGAAGTATTCTATGATCTGTGACATATCTGATGTATCAGTTTCTATCAGGAAACGTCAAATGATTTGAATTTTACCTCAATATCTTCGGTAAGACTAGCCAGCCGTTTTCGTGCGTCCTCGGAGAGTACGCTGAGCCTCAATCTGATATCCTCAGCGGCTGAATTCGCGATTACGGTCGTCGAGGAAGGAGGATTCAGTCTCGGTGGTGGTGGAAGGCTCGATTCCTCTTCGGCGACAGGCGCGACCGGGCTGGAAACCCCCGATCCACCGCCATCCACGCCACTGCTCACCGAGGGTGTTTTCTCCGAGTCGCTCCATTCCTCATCCTCCCCTGGAATCACAAGAAAAAAACAATTCTTATTTATCACTCCGTATTAAAGTACGAACAACTTTGCAGTTAATTTCGTACGCAGCGTATCGCGAGGGTTCGATTTGATAAAAATTGAATATCTGCACTGTTCTATTTTATGTTTATGAGATACATAATAATGAGTACATTTTTCCCAGTTGCCCCAACGACGATGTACACATTCTCGCGAAACGAGCATGACTTGTGAAACGGATCCACGTGGTGGAGGCACAGCTGGCTGAACAGAGCCGGAAGAGGAACAGAGGGCAACGGAATAAAGCAAGAGGGAATAAATGCCGTGGCACGCACGTGAAACGATGCGTCTCTATGGCCGTTCGGCTCCCTAATGGTCGTTCGCCACGCCAGCCTTTGCCCTTTGCATACCCCCGTCTTCCCTTCACCCTGCTCCTCCTATCTCTTTCTATTCATCTATCTATCGCACTCGCCGGGCCACCCCTCTCGCCTCTGCACTCTTCGCACGCCACCCCGAGAATCCCCACCATTCGCAGCGAGGCGATGTGCCGCTTCGACGCCGAAAGGGGTTGCTTCTCGCATCGAAATCTCGGGTAAACTCAACATCATGGGGTTGTTCAGCTTTTCAAATCGAGACGAGTCAATTCTTTTGAAACAATGTAGCTTTTTTTTGGAATTCTTTAACGACTTTTTAAGAATGACCTCAAGTTTTCAACTGTAGACCTTTCTTTAATCAAGTATTGGAGAATGTGAAGACACTATCCGTGTTAACTATGGTAAGTGGTCCAAGAACTGCAGGAAAATTTGAATCTTCGCAGCTTAGGTACCGCGCGTTAACTTCGTAAAAAGTGCGTATCTATTTCGGGATCAGTTCGCAGTTGGGAAACATCCTGTTGGCGAGCAGGTAAGGAAAGCGGAGACACCATCGACACCTCGAATCTCTCCTCCGCGTATCGTTCTCCACGGTTTTTCGTTCCGCGATCCTTCGTACGGATATCCGCAAACGCGGTACGTCCAGGTGGGTTGTCCTCGAAAATCGAGGCGACACGCGTATCGGCCGTCGAATTACCCGGATGCTTTAATTGCCTGGTTGGGCGAGACTCTAAAGGCGTACGCGAGCGAGACAGAGAGCGGGAGGAGGCCAAGATGCCGAGGCAGATTGGGGTAAAGGGTTGCAGCGCACTTCTAGCCTATCCCGAGCTCGCATCTACAGACCGGTCGTGTTCCTTCTACCTCTCTGTAAATAAGCGGTCATCGATGGATCAGGCCAACTCGCCTCAGCAACGTTCCACCTCCTCCCATTCTATCCTTCATCCACCTCGTTGCCTCCGTTCTTTTCTTAACGCTATCTCCTTTCGAGTTTCTATTCCTTCCACTTCGGCTTGGCTCGTCGTTGCAACGAGAGGGAGAGAACATCCTTAATTGCACGCGTCTACAAGCTACTTGTGACCACGGGACAAGCTCGACTTGCATTTACGCGCGAGTTTCGTTGCGGCAGGGTTAATCAAAATCGTGGGCTATCAGTATTAGCATCAATTCACAAAATGCGTGAAACAATGCCTATTACTATAAAAGATCTTTGAGAGTTAAAAAGGGTATCAGATAAACCAGCAAAGTAATTTTTTATTTACGATATTTTATTCAAATCTTAAAAGGAATGTCATTTATACAAATGTTCTCTTGTTCCTCCTGTCTAGATCTTCGAGCATCATACAATCCTTTTTGCATCGGGCACGTTGAGAAGCCGATCTTCCACGAAGACATTCGCCCTCGAAACGACTCTATCGAGCGCACGAGAACGCGATGTCCCACGAAGTGAACTATTAAACAGAGGCTCTCGGCCCGTCCACTCGCCTCTCTATCTGGTTTTCATTCTCGTTACCGGCCCTCCGACCATTCTTAATTGCACGTGCATGCAAACGTTGAACGGTCCGATCGAGAGGGGCTGCACCTTGCTCGCTCCGCAACCACCTACTACAACCACCGACAACCACCTCCGGGTTCGCCGAGGGTATAATATATCTCGAAAAGAAGACGGCGGTGGCGGTGGTGGTGGTTGTGGGCAGAGGGCAGAGCGACGGGGGCGGAGGGAGGCCTGGAACACGGCCGCCATTAACATATCCGCGGGCTGATAAGCCATTCTCAGAACCGATACCGCGCCCGTGTACACCTCCGGCTCCGCTTTATGCGAGAAACGAACAGGCCGCGTGAGAAACGGAGTTCGGAAGCTCTCCTGATCTTTGCCACTTACGCCATTGTTCCACCTTCGCCGGTTTTAATTGAATCTAGAAATCCGCGTTAAACCACTACTCGTTACTGTTTTCCTATCGCGTTCGCGTTCTCTCCTGTAGCCCTTAATACTTCGAAAAACCTATCACCTTTCATCGTCCTTCCGCTGATACCGCGCGTGCATCGCTCCTTATATTTCATTCACTTTATATTATGCAATGAAACAATCTTGATAAACAAAATTACGAACAAGTAAGCATTGTATATTTATTTTTCTCATAAAACACGTCGGTTTCTATACTATCAATACTTTATTAAACCGAATTCAATTGCGATTTCAAATGCGTTCTCCGGTATTCCCCGGTATCTCGTAACACAAACCCTGTCATCTTCCAGTAGATGGCCGGATGGGTAACCAGCACCCAGGTGGAATGAGTCGATGGTGTACACCGGTGGCAGGAAAACGAGCGCAACGGTAGCAGCTTCATCGGCGCTATGCAAATAGGATCCTGATCGTGACGCGGGTAGGCAAACACGCGACGTACAGGTAACAGGCAGGGCTGTTGGTGAGGCCTGAGTGAGTCCTCTCAGCTTCTTCTTCTTCGTCGTCTTCTTCTTCTTCTTCTTCTTCTTCTTGTCTTTCTCCTTCTTCTTTCTTCTAGTTGTTTCTTCTTTCGATGTTATGGTAGTGCGCCCTCTTTTCACGGGGCCACGACCCATGCCAGAGATGCATGGCACTCGTATACCGATGCAACCACGAAACATTTTGCTTTTCTCTTTCTGTCCTCTTCACCACGCCACCCACCCCCTTCTTTCCTGTTTCTCTCTCTCTCTCTCTTTCTCTACACGCTGCATCGTGGAGATATGCTAATGCAGCCGTCCCGATCGTGACACTGCGGCTGCTAAGTAAGAGCTCAAGTCGCAACCTTCTCATCGGCTCCTACGCCGTCTCTTCCTACCCCCCGATCTCGTTGTTCTTGTTCACCAATCCCCGCAGCTGTGCTTTAAGCCAGCCACCTTCCAGCCACGTTGACACTTGCGTCCCTATTTCGGGTAATGCTTCTTGGCCAACAATCACTTTTGTCGATGGTTCCTATGCAACCAGATTACAAGTGATTTGATTTTTTCATAAATCAGATTTGGACATGTTTACAAATTATTTATAAAGCCGAGAAATTTTATTTCCTTTGGATGCATCGATCGATATTGGAAAAAATTGATTTTAGATCTTTCGTTTCTCTCTGCACCCCATCCATGATTGTCTTCGCCTTTAGAATACGCATTACTTTTAACTGTTTGTTTCATCGACACCCTGTATGTACATCGGATAGTTAAAAACAGCATCGTGGCCAACGGAGGAGTATCGGCGACTCGTGTAGTACAACATTATGCACAATTTACCAGACAGCGATGTCTTTACGAACGAAACTTGTCCATGTCCCGATTCAATTAAACGCCCGATGCAATCGATCAATTCAATTCGTCCCGTTACACTTAACTCTTCAAGATTCAGCGCGCGCGGCCATCGCGCAAGCACACCTCATTAAAACGCAAATCTATCCGATCGATCCGATATCTCCGATCTGCCTTTATTCCGGCCTGCACTTCTCTCTCGCCTTTTCCTCTTGCTCGTATGAGGGGGTGGCAGTCGTAAGGAGAGAAAGAGACGGCGCGAGCCTCTTCCAAGAAGTTCGGATCACGTCGTGGAGCACATTATTCATGCAAAGCTCTTACTACGTCCACCTCTCGTCTTCTACTATCTGCGTATCAACACGCATGGCTATACATACATACGTGGCCCTCATACCTATCAATGTAGTGACAGACTCGGATCCAGGATCCTAATCATCGTTTCAAGACGAGAAACAATGATTTTTCGGAAATTCAAATGAACCTTCAAGATTTTCAAGAAGAATTATTCTTTGGATATGAGTCCTTATTAGAAATGAATACGAATGAATCGTGAATTCGATCGAGTCCGTTAAGTCACTTTTTGTTTAATTAGCTCTTCTTCCCACGCTCGTCTCCGATCGCACGATCATCAAATCGCATTCGCCCGATGATACGGGAAATTATAAATAGCACGGTGACTCACAGATTGCATGGTGAACCAAGCAAGATTGAACATGACATGAGAGTTCTTACATCACTTCCCTCTGAAATCTCGTTTAAATATTCCAATTACGAGAAATTTGAATAAGGTAAAATAGTTGCGTACATAGTAAAAATTTGACGCATTTTTAAGAAAATTAAATGTAGATAAAATACATCTAATGTATAAAATAATGGTTGAACGATAAAATAAATGTTGATTTAAAATAAGTTTTTAAACAGACATCGCAGGCGTTTCGTTCTGCATACAAAGTTGCAGTCCACTAATTAGCATATTAGTGTTGAGCGGAAACGAGGGTTTCTTCGAATCGCCCGGGGGATGAACATAAATTTTCGAGGCGCGAGACATCGGACAAGGATTGCTCGAGTCGAACGCGGCGATCGGCACGCACGGAAATTTAATTACGCGGGGCGATCGATCAAAGATCGTACAGGAAGATCGCGGGATTTTGATAAGACTCGTCGCGTGTACAGTCCTCGATGTTAAGAGAGTGACACGCGCGTCGTGCATGTAACGTAGGGGCAATAATGATAGTGATTATGCTAAAGGGCGACGATAAATCTGTGACGCGCTGATATCGTGACAAGATACCGATACACATTTCGACTTTCACCCCTTTACCACTTAATTACTCGATCGGCCAGTCGAAAATACCGGCCAATTACTA